GCGCGCACACACCGGGCTTTCTCCGCAGCACGATCTGCATTACCTTGAAGTTCACTTTCTCCCCCCCCATCACCTCTTCTTGGAGAGGGCTTCCCCCCCTCCTCTTTCCCCCCCTTCCCTTCCCCCGCTCCCTGCTGGAATCTGCCGCTTGGAATCTCCTAATCCTCCTTTATTTATTTATATATATGTATTTTTTCACTTAGATTTTTGGCCAAGGAAGCTTGATCTCTCTCTCTCTCTCTCTCTCTCTCTCTCTCTCTCTCTCTCTCTCTCTCTGCGGGGCTGTAGGGGCGGGGTGGGGGTGGGGGCTCCGGCTGGGGGAGGGGCGGGGCGGGGAGGGGGCACATCCGGCGTGAAGGGGGTGGGGGGTGTTGGAAGTTGCGGCGGAGCTGGGACCGGAGACCTGCGGCCCCCCGCGTGGCGATGGGCTCAGTCTGAGCTCCGGGCCTCCCCGCCGCCCACCCCTGCCTGCCCCGGAGCAGTGGAGGCTGGATACAATCTGATTTTTCATTTTATTTTGTATTTTTTTTTTAAACCCAAACTGCCAACAACTCTGGCGGTGCCAACATTCCCCTCCAAGTGACACGGCTTGGGGAAGGAAGATTTTTTTGTTTTCCTCAGCCTGGGCTCTTTCTGTCTTTCCTGGTGTCTGCATTCCGAGACCACGACCAGAAGACGAACCAGAAGAAGAAAAAGAAGAAGAAGAAGAAGAAGAAGAAAAAAAGGGCTTCGCTTTGGAGATCGGAATATTTAGAAAGAAAAATAAATAAATAAATATCCTCCTCCTCCTCCTCCTCATCATCATCATCAAGAAAAGCTGCGCTCAACTCCATCGTGACCTCAAAACTCTTTGGACTGTCTTTCAAAGATATATTGGAAGGAGAGGAAAACAACACCACACACACACACACACACACACACACACACACACACACACATCCATCGTCAAGAGAGACGGAGAGAGATTCCACCTAGGAGATGGAAGTTTTCCCTTGGTTCTTGGTTTTGTCCGTCTGGTGGACTCGAACCTGGGACTCCGCGACTGCGGATTCGATCATCCACATCGGTAAGAAGGGGTTTGTGGTGGCTGCTCGTCGAGACTTTCTGTATTACTTATTATCCTAGCGGATCGTTTCCGTCCTGCGATCGGTTCCCCTTCCCTTCTTCTGCTCTGCCCTCTGGGCGGCCTGCTGCTGCAGCTTGGCCTGGCCCCCCCCCCCCGCCCCCAGGCCCCTTCCCCGGCCCGGCCCGCGCACTTGCTCTGGAAGGAGGCGGAGGCTGGAACCTTCTTCTCTTGTGTCGCTTTTTGCTGGTGAAGCGTGGATTTTATTGGTTTTTTTTGGGGGGGGAGTGAAGGGGGAAGGGGAGAGGGGCTCGCCTGCTTTACCCAGGGTCTCGATTTGACCTCAGAGTGCGGTGGATTGATTCCAGGTGTCGAAAGGAAGTTTCCTTGATCCTACCTTCCATTCATTCCTTCCCCCCTTCCCAAATCTGGATATAATATATATATGTATATATATATATATATACATATATATATATTAGCTCCATTAAAAATTATCTTTAGTGGGGGGAGATGTCACGGGAAATGTCACTTGCGAGGCGAAGAGTGCGCTCGGGTTGGAGGGGGCTTTATTTGCGGGGGTGGGTGGGGAGGGATGAGCTCTCCTTTTCGGATCGAACAGGTGGTTTTGCAACGTGAGCTGGCCGAGCCCGCCGCAGCGTGGAGCGCGGGTGACGGGCTCCGAGGCGCCCCCCAACCTCCCCGGGCTCTCGCCTCTGCGGGGTCCTGGCGCGCGGCGTCGCCTAGACGGTGGCGATGGCGGCCGTGGATCGGAGGATTCGGAGCCAGCCCGCAGGGACCCCGGCCTGGGGTTGTGGGAGGGGGGGAAAGGGAGATGGGGAGGGGGCGTCTGGGAAACGCGCGGGCCTCTCCTGGGGTGGGGGAGACTCGCTGACACCCCGATCTCCTCGCCTCGCCACCCTGCGCAGTCAACTCCACACTTGGAGCGCCAGGCCAGGGAGTCCGGGCGTTCTAGGCTGTGGCCAGGCTTGGTGGGTCGATCTCCTTCCCCGCCCGACCGCCCACCCTCGGGGAAGGACTAAGGCTGTGACCTTTTTGGAGACCCTGCTACTGACCCCACCTACCCGACCGGCTCGCGACTCGAGGCGGTGGGCGCGGGGTAGGGCGCGCGCGCGCGGGCGGGCGCACGGAGTCGGGCGGGGGCTGCGCGTCATTGCCGAGCACCACACTGGAGCTTCCAGGCTCCAACTCTTCTCACTTGCTAATCCCGGAGAGCTGAGCAGAGACCCGGGGCTCTCGCAGCCTCTTCTGCCTTAATGCGACGATTTCCTATTCGGAATATTTCACCTCTCCCTGGAGCGCTTGGTTCCCTGGCAGGGTTGCAAAGAGGCGCCTTTGGGGGGGACGGTTAGGAGGGGGAGGAGGGGGGTGCGGACGATATTTTTTCGAAGAGGGGTGTGCACAGGACTTTTATCTTGTCTATATGGCCTGGGGTTCTGCAAATCGAGGTAACAGATGGGTTACACTCGCCTTTCTGATCCCTTGCCTGCCCACCGCGCAACACACACACACACACACACACACACACACACACACACACACACACCTGGTGGGTTACACTCGCCTT